AGTGAGGTTCAACTTGGTACCTAATGTCTCTTGTATTCTTTGCCAAAATCGAGAAACAAAACGTGGATCACGATCCGACACTATACGCACAGGAATTCCATGCAACCTTATAACTTCATCCACATATAACTTTGCCAACTTTTCCATTGAATATTTCATACTAATGGGCAAGAAGTGTGTAGACTTAGTCAATCAATCCACTATGACCCAAATCGCGTCATGCCCTCTTTGCATCCTGAGCAATCCCGATACAAAATTCATGGTATTATTCTCCCATTTTCACACGGCCACCTCTAATGATTGCAACAAACCAGAAGGCTTCTGATGCTCTGCCTTAACTCTCTGACATACTAGGTATGTCTGAACGAACCGGGCAATTTCCTTTTTCATGCCTTCCCACCAATAGAGACTTTTCATATTTTGGTACATCTTATTCCCTTCAGGGTGTACCGTATACTTAGAACGATGGGTTTCCTCCAATATTTCTCTTTTGAGATCCTCATCTTTTGATACCACCAGTCGATTTCGATACCTAAGAATTCCTTCGACTCCAATATTAAAGTCCAAAAACTCCTTTTTCTGAGCTTTCTCCAATCATTTATGTACTTCTGGATCCTTCTTTTGTACTTCCTTAATCTTATCCAATAGAGTAGACCTTAATACAATATTTCCCAAAACAACTTTCGTGGATTGCAGACGAGGATTCCAAACACTAGTTTCCTCTAGCATGTGTCATTCCTTTACCATCAATCCTGCTACTTGTACCTTACGGTTCAAAGCATCCGCTACTACATTAGCTTTTCCCGAGTGGTAATTAATTGTGCAATCATAGTTTTCCAAGAATTTCACCCACCTACGCTGTCTCAAATTCAACTCCTTCTGAGAAAACAAATACTTAAGGCTCTTGTGGTTGGTAAAAACCTCAAATGTCATCCCATATAGGAAATGTCTCTACTTACGTAACGCAAATACTACGGCGGCTAACTTCAAGTCATGGGTTGGATAATTCCACTAATAGGGTTTCAACTTTCGTGACACATAGGCTATAACTCGTTCATTCTGCATCAACACACAACCTAGACCTTCTTTCGATGCGTCTGTGAATACCACATAACCATGATTTCCATTAGGTAGAGTTAAAACTGGTGCCTCAGTCAACCGTCTCTTTAACTCTTGAAAACTCCTTTCACACTTAGCGTCCCATATGAACTTGCCATACTTCTTGGTCAGCTCGGTCATAGGTCCCGCTATCTTGGAGAAATCCTTAATGAAACGATGGTAGTAACCAACTAAACCCAAGAAACTTCGAACCTCCGTTGGATTCTCAGGTTGTTTCCAATTTGACACTGCTTCCACCTTAGTCAGGTCCATAGCGATTCCATCCTTAGAGATAATATGACCCAAAAATGTCACTTCTTCCAACCAAAATTCATACGTACTAAACTTCGTAAATAACTAATGTTCTCTTAGGATTTGCAATACTATCCTCAAATGTCGTTCATGGTCCTTCCGAGTTTAAAATATACTATGATATCATCGATGAACACCACTACGAACTGATCTAAATACGGCTTAAAGATTCGATGCATTAAATCCATAAATGCGACAGGTGCGTTAGTCAGTCCGAAAGGCATCACGGCAAACTCAAAATGCCTGTACCTCGAGTTAAAAGCTGTCTTAGGTATGTCCTCCATTCGCATCCTCAATTGATAGTAACCCTGTCTAAAATTCAACTTAAAGTAAACTACAGCTCCCTGCAGTTGATCGAAAAGCTCATCGATGTGCGGTAGAGGGTACTTATTCTTAATGGTGACGTCATTCAAGTCTCAATAATCTATACACAATCTTAACCTTCTATCTTTCTTCTTAACAAATAACACTGGCGCACCCCAAGGTGAATCACTTTTCTTGATAAATCCTCGTTCCAATACATCTTGCAATTGAAGTTTCAATTCTCTCGGTTCAGCTGGCGCTATCCTCTAAGATGTATTGGAAATAGGCGCTATTCCTGGGGGTCACATCAATCTTAAAAGCTATTTTCCGTTCGGGCGGTAAGGATTTTAATTCCTCAGAAAAAATGTCAGGGAATTCTCTCATCACTGGCACGTCTTCCAACTTTACCTTATTTCCTGAAGTATTGATCAGAAAAGCTAACAGTCCTTTTGCTCCCTTACTCAGCAATTTCCTAGCTCTAATCCCTGAAATAAGAGTTGATGATGCTAATCTACCTCTTACATCTAGTTTTAAAGTCGGCTCACCAGGCAAATGCAATTCCACTATCTTCTTCTTATAATCAAGTTGGGTATGATAACGAGTTAACCAATCCATCCCTAAGATAATATCATAACCCTTAATTTCTAAACACATAAGGTCTGCTAACAGCTTCCGCTCACCAACCTAGACATCACAATTCCTATAAACCCAATTAGATAACAATCTCTGATTTTCAGTATGCATACTAATCTCTAAGTCATATGGTAGTCTCTCAGACTTAACATCTACGCCCTTCATAAAGGTAGGCTTAACAAAGGAATGGGTTGCCCCGAGATCAATTAAAACCTTAACTAGACGATGGAATATCGGAATCGTACCTTCAATAACCTCCATAGGTTCAGGGGCCTGATATTGATCCAAAGAATAGACTTTAGCAGGCACCATCGGGCGATTATCCCCCATGCTCGACTGTTTGAAAGTCGGCCTAGCAGACTGTTGCGAACCACCTCCTACACGACGAGCCGTCAAACAGTTGGCAATCTGATGTTCAGCACTCCCGCAACTTAAACACTTCCCCACTTTCCTCCAACAATCATCCGCTGTGTGATTTGGCTTTCCATAGTATCCACATCCTACTTGAGGCGTCGATACCAAACCTCCTTGTGAGGTAACCCTAGACTGGCCATGCCACTAGCTACTCCTCTAACCAAAGATCCCCTTGTAGCTCTAGCTAATCTTACTCCTCCCAGGCCCCTTCCAACCTTAAGGGCTGGCACATTCTTATCCAGCGGCCCTACACCACTGTTACTTGGGGCATTCCTCTTTTTAGCATGAAAAACCCTCACCTGAAGTCTAGCACTCTCCACTCTTTGGGCCTTTTCCAAGGTCTCGGTAAACTTGTTGATTTGGGCTGCTGATAAAGCCTCTTGACTCTCCACATTGAACCCTTGTATGAATCGTCTTATCCTTTTTCGATCCGTGGGCATTAACTCAGGTGCAAACTTGAAGAGTTTCGTGAATTGGGTCTCATAGTCGGCCACACTCCTAGATCTCTGCCTCAATCTAATAAAATCGTCCACTCTTTTCTCTTGGACCATTGGAGGCAGAAACTTCTCGTCAAACTCTCTCTTGAAATTTGCCCAAGTCCATGGGGTCTGCTCTCTTTCCCATTTAGCTCTAATGACATTCCACCAAGACCTAGCCGCGCCCTCAAATTGGAAGATAGCGAAAATCACTCGCCTCCCCTTCGAGTAGTTCAATACGGCAAGGATATCGGTCATCCTTTCGAACCAACTCTCCGCCACGTCTGAGTCAGCTCCTTCCAGGAACTTGAGTGGCGTAAACTTAATAAAACATTCCAGAGCCCTATCATCTCCATGATCAGGGCCTATAGGCTGAGTTTACTGACCGAACCCTTGATGGTCAGCCAGACGTTCAAGGATATCAGTCATCCTATTGATGGTCGTAGCCACTTAGTCCTCATTTCCACCTTCCGATCCCCTTTCCGAGACTGCCCCGGAAGACCAAATACTCTCATAGGGTTGGGGTGGTCTACGCCTGCGCCCCCGACCTCGGCCTCTACCTCGACCTCGCGCATCCATAGTCTTAATTATGTCTAAATACAAGAATAGAAACAATTATGCGAAAGAATACTTAAGACAAAAGTCAACATAGGAAACATTTGAAATAACAATAACTGGCATATATTAACATTTCAAGGTTCGTACATAATTAGCAAGTCATGGGGCATTTATAAAAATATAGCACACATATGCCACAAAAATACAATTAGTCATGCAGTAAAAGTCATAAGCTTTACAAACATCACCCCAATTAATTCTAATTACAAAAGAGTCAAAAGTTTCAACATTCCTAGCCTAGTTCACAGCAGAACCGCTAGTCTGGACCTCCTTCTCTAGGTCCTCCTCAAAAGACTCCTCCTCAGAAGTGCCCTCATGAGCCAAGCTCTCGACTCCGCCTACCACCTTATCTATCAGCACGGTGGTGTCAGTTAAAATCCCAATAGCCCACTCCTGGACTTCATCGACTACCCTAACTAGTCGAGTCCTAATTCTCTGAACCTGGTCACGAGCGGCCTCAGCTCTAACCCGCTCATCGATCACTGTCCCCTCAAACTCTAAAATCCTAGCACCCTGGGCCCTCCTCCATAGCCCTCCGCTTCTCAATCTCCTCAAGTAATGCCCTATTAGTAATCACTAGCTGTCGGCGCTCATCATCAATAGACAGTACTAGATCATTAGGATAGGAATGTGTCTCCCTACAGGGACAACGAGGGAACCTAAAGAAATGCGAATATCGAACACGAGATCCTCCACCAAGTACTCGATATCGGATAGATCTAAGAGGCTCCACATGATCGTTAGCATCTCTGTTACCATTAGCCGCATGACCTTCATTACCGTTCTCCATTCCTACAAAACAACTACAAAACTTAAGGTTAGAAACTTAAAGTCACTAATTCACTCAAACATCAACTTAAAGCATAACTAAGTTATCTCATTCCTATTCTCAAGAGTAAAGCCTCTAAAACATCTCCCAAATAGATTTCTAAACCTTGGTTTTGATACTAATTGTAACGTCCCCACTTCTCCCTAGGACGAATCCAAGGGTATCGATAGAACGCCTGCCTACCTCTCGCCAGAACTCACTACAAAATCCAAAATATAAATACAAGCATTCACTCTTAAACTATAGACGGAGTCTATTATATCCACCAGTCAAACTTACATAAGAACAAGCCCAATACTTCCATCCAAATTACAATAATAATATCCCAAGTACAATAATTCATAAGGTTTACAGATCAAATCATTCCTATACAAAAGAGTGAAAATCCTACAAAGAAACTAAGTTCCTCGAGTATCGAACTCCGCTTCAAAACCTGTTAAGGAAAACAAACTTATGGGGTGAGCAAAGTTCAGTGAGGTCAAGAAAATCATGCAAGCAAACAAGTTCATATCAAAGTCAATTTTACCAGACAAGAATGTTAACAACGATTCCATGTGCAAGTTCAAGTACGGAGAATAAATCACACATCGGATAAGGATACGAGAGCTTTCAAGAGCTATTCCACAGCTTGATCATGAGTTTAACATTGAGTTGACACTTCGTCAACATAACAAGATTAGTCCATAGACACCACTTATAACATTCTCCGTCCACCGTTTCACCCCCTGTACCGGACCCGCTCGTCAAACAAGCAAGTTGGTAATACTCGGTATACCTAGTCGGCGAACGCATTCCAACCGACGAAAACAAGTCAAGACCCAAGACTTGCCAATCCCTCAGCTGAGCCCTTGCCGGTCCGAAGTGAAAGGTTACCGATGAGTTTTGGACGTCCCCACCATATTCAAGTATCAAATAGGATGATGAGACAATGCTCCATCATCAATCAAGTACAAATACAAGTTCATTATTCAAGTTCAAGCAAGCAAGTTCGAGACAAGTATAAGAGGTAGGACGAGATAAAGTACACGTCCACCTTAACAATTTCAATACATGTATCTAGTTCAAGCACGTAGTACAAGCAAGATAGTAACAAGTATGGCATCAAGTCATGCACTTGACACTCACCGATGATTCACTTTAGAAGACAAGCAAGCAAGCACACTAGAGTTAAGATTCGGTAGGTTCTTCCTCAGCACGATCTTGGTCACCTGAGCCAAAGTTAATCATCAATCACTAACTAATCAACTCAACTCAAGAACTCAACTCAATCACTTAAAATCTTCCAAGGCCGGACTGCCACTAGTTCTTGTTTGGACCAAATCTAAGGCTACACTCATCGGAATTAGGCAAAGGCTATGGCTATGGAAACTAGCCTCGGAGTACTATAATTCCCGAGAAGAGCTCAATCCAAGATTCATTGAGTAAAATAGGCTAAATCGAGCCACAAGTCACCAAAATGAGCAAAAGACATGAAAACAGTTTCGTAAAACAGCCATTTTTGTAAAATTTCTGGTATTGATAGGAAATGATTTAGCATGCAATCCATACACCATCGAATTCTCTTAGTGAAAGAGATGGGAATGTAACTGAAAAAACCCTGAAAACCTATGTCAGGAAAAATCATCGAGGAAAAGATAAAGCTCCCCCTTCTCTTCACAACAAGGAATCCGAACCTAGGGCAGAATTTGATGTTTTTGAGTCATCAGATAAAGTTTCCTCTGATTCAAAGATTGCTGATTTGGATCTTCCTATTGCACTTCGAAAGGGAGTGCGTTCTTGTACCAAACACCCTATGACTAACTATGTCTCTTATGAAAAGTTATCCCCTACTTTCTTGACATTTACTTCACAACTTTCTTCTGTGGAAATTCCAAAGAATGTACAGGAAGCATTACAAGTTCCAGAGTGGAGAAAGACTATTGAAGAAGAGATGTATGCTCTTGAGAAGAATCAAACATGGGAAGTAACAAACCTGTCACAAGGGAAAAAGACAGTAGGGTGTAAATGGGTCTTTACCATCAAGTATAATTCCGATGGGACATTGGAACGGTACAAAGCTCGATTGGTGGCTAAAGGGTTTACTCAAACCTACGGGATCGATTATCTTGAAACTTTTGCTCCAGTGGCAAAATTAAACACTATTAGGGTGCTTCTCTCAATAGCAGTAAACCTTGATTGGCCGTTCCAACAACTTGATGTCAAGAATGCATTTTTAAATGGTGATCTGGAGGAAGAGGTGTACATAGAGTCTCCCCCTCTTTTTGAAGGGAAGTTTCAGTCTAGAGTTTGCAAGCTAAAAAAATCGTTATATGGTCTCAAACAATCTCCTAGGGCCTGGTTTGGAAAATTTACTAGGTCGGTAAAGGATCAAGGCTATACCCAAGCTCAGAGTGATCACACCATGTTTGTTAAACACTCCAAGGACGGGAAGATAGCAGTACTCATTGTGTACGTGGATGATATCATCCTCACAGGAGATGACTTAATTGAGATGGAACGGCTGAAGAAAAGTCTTGCTTCTAGCTTTGAAATCAAAGATTTGGGAACACTACGATATTTCTTAGGGATGGAGGTAGCTCGGTCCAAGAAGGGCATTGTTGTGTCCCAACGCAAGTATGTTTTGGATCTTTTAAAGGAAACAGGGATGAGTGGATGTCGACCTGCAGACACTCCTATGGATCCGAATCACAAGTTAGCAGATATAAAAGATGGAACACCAGTTGATACTGCTCGATACCAAAAGTTAGTAGGCAAGCTAATTTACTTGGCTCACACTCGTCCTGATATAGCTTTTTCAGTGAGTGTTGTGAGCCAGTTTATGCATTCTCCATATGAAGAGCACCTTGATGCAGTATATCGAATTCTGAGGTACTTAAAAAGTACTCCAGGAAAGGGATTGTTCTTTAAAAGAGGAGATCGAAAGACCATTGAAGCTTATACAGATGCTGATTGGGCAGGATCAGTCATTGATAGAAGATCAACCTCGGGGTATTGTACCTTTGTATGGGGCAATTTGGTTACTTGGAGAAGTAAGAAACAAAGTGTTGTAGCTCGTAGTAGTGCAGAGGCAGAGTACCGAGCTATGGCTCATGGTGTGTGTGAGATGTTATGGCTGAAGAGAGTTTTAGAGGAGCTGAAAAGACCTATTGAACTTCCAATGAGGCTCTATTGTGATAACCAGGCGGCAATTAGCATAGCTCATAATCCTGTGCAACATGATAGAACCAAACATATTGAGATTGACCGCCACTTCATAAAAGAGAAACTTGAAGGAGGAATTATCTGCATGCCATTCGTTCCATCAGCTCAGCAGATAGCTGACATTCTCACCAAAGGACTCCTCAGACCAAACTTTGAACTTCTTACAAGCAAGTTGGACATGATAAATATATATGCACCAACTTGAGGGGGGGTGTCGAAGATATTATCTCCTATGATTATGGGAGATATTATCTTCCATAATTATCTCCCATGATTATGAGATATATTACCTCCCATGATTATGGGATTTTATTGCTTATGATCAATCAGGTTTGAATAGATAGGATATGAGTTGATTATGTAATCCCTAAAATCATGGTTCTATTACCTTAAGTGGTGGCAGAACTATGATAGGGTTGTCCTATAAATGCCTACCTTGTAAGCATATTTTAGGGTGTGGGAAAATAAAGAAAAGTAGAGTTTTTTGTTCATTTTCCTTTTCTTTTAAAATTTACAAATCCATTAATCATGTATTCTCTGCTTGTCCTGTTTCTGCACTTGTTTGGCAGACAATTTGAAGATAATGCTTCATCTATAAAGGAGAAGATTAGGGAAGAATGAAACTGCAACATGTGATCCAACACTTCGCAAACCAATACCCACACTCTACCATGTTCTGAGGTTACTGAAAACATCCTTTCCAGTAGTGGCTATTCTGCGCATTATCATCTATGATGTAAATAGACAGCTGCAAGCTGCAAAGGAGTTCAGAGAACAAAAGAAATATGGGAGTTTCACTGGCTGAGGATTTGAATCTAAAATACCCATAAAGAATTTTTTCTACATTTAGTAGGAACTGCAGTTTGGTATGGGTATAGGAGTTGGTGTCTTTTCTCAAAGTGATATCCTTTCTTGTGTGTACTTCAGTGCAGATACCAATAAGATGAACACTCAACCAAGGACTCTTTGTAATTACTCCTTATTCTTATGCCAAAAATAAATTATAATTATGGTTTCTAAAGATTGGATGATGCAAAGTGTAAAATAACAAAATAAAGTCAATAACTTTTTCTCATGTCCAAGAAATAAATCATAAGATTCAGATATATCATACAATCTTTCATACATCTAACCTGCTTTGATATTAGTGGGGGTAAAATTCATCGCTGTGTCTAAGTAATTTAATAATACAGTAGATCAATAATTACTCACCCCATGTCATCGTACCCCATGACTAGTGCCTCCCCCTGAAAAAGAGGACAGGAACATCTGGTTAGATACTAATCCAAACAAAATGCGGTGCTTTTTATTTCCACATAAATTTGTGAAACATTCAGAAGTCTAACAGAAATGTGGGAGTTAGAGAATCCACAATTTATTTCAGAGAGAAAGGAAATGGAAGGATAAGTTGTTTTTTTCTTTTGGCTTGACTTATGAGGAGGGAAAGGGAGGGATTAGGTGTAGTTGTTTTGTGCCAGTTACTTTCCATCTATAGAATCCTTTGTTTCCCTAACGTAACTTAACTTTTCTTCAATACAATCTTCAGACCACCCTAAACCTAGTTTCTTCATTGCACATCTGCAAATTTTGAGTGATAGCACTTTTAATTATTTAACCAATCTCCACCCCCCTCCCCCTCCCCCTCCCCCTCAAAACATATTAAAAAAAATGCAAGATGAAAAGCACTGAATTCATTTTGGTACATTATCACTTACTTGACACTGAAACAATGAGTACCAAAACAAACAAACAACAAACCAAGGATAGGGTAAAGTTCAACACAGATGCTCACAAATTAGACTTGTTATGGGCAAGAATGTAACTAAAATATAGTCATTTCCTTTCCTTTCCTAATTCAAAAACCATATCCAGTATTTCCTCTCTTCCTTCCATATTTAATCCAAACAAAAATTGATGGAAACTGCTTTCCCATACTCCCCATTCTTTCTCTTTCACTAGAGTCCCTTCCTTTCCTTTCCTTTAATTGAAAAGGTGCCTTAACGGGATCGAAGTCATAATATTCAAAACTCTGCTACACGAGCCTAATGTATTCCAAACTATATAGATGAAATATCCATTTTAGATTAACATTGTGGAAGAAATTAAGGATTTAAGGAACTTAATCAGATTCAAGTTTCACTTTGAAGATGCGTCATTTTTTATTCTTCAATTTTCCTATTGAAGGAAGGTGCACAAGTTCAATGCTACAAATGCAAAATGAAGGAGAGAAGCTAGGCGTTGGCATCTAAACAATTTGCGTTTTGTGGGGGCAAAGATTTCCATATACAAAATCCATGAGGGATCTCAAATTCCTAAGAAATTTGGGGGTTGGGAGGTGTGGATTGGCCCTTATTATTCTTATGCACCTATATCGAGGGACACTTTGATCTTCTAGAAGGGAGGAAAAAATTTTGTACAAAATCTTGAGTGGACGCCCCTGTGCCCAGCCCACCCAAAATCTGCCAGCAAACTTAGGACTTCTCATTTAATTCAGTACGTCTCCTCACTAAGACCTTGTATTATCATCACTTCTAGGTAAAGGCATTAAGCACCTACCTTACTAATTAAAAAAGCAGGTGGCACATCTCTTCATTCATATGTCTCATACACTTAACTCCATGACTAACAACTGTAAAATAATTTGTTACCCCTACACTTGATTTTAAATCATCACGCTATATGTAGGACAATGGAAAGAAATTAACAAGAATAATCTTAAATATCTAATCACAACACCCAAAAGAAACAATTACAGATACATTTTCCATCTACGGTCCATTCCAAGATTGCGAAGCAATCACTCTCATCAAGCAAGAATAATCTTGTAAATAAAAGGTTTTACTCTATCAGCGGTTGATGTCCTAAAAAAAAATTCAAAACACCCAGCAGCAAATATCCCCAACTCCACTTGGACGGAGTATGGCAAAGGATGATGATCCAACTATAGTATTCCATGATGGTACAGAAAATTCATTGCCATGAAATGATTATGCATATATCTGACCCAAAAACCCAAAGAACATCCAAGATTCAGTGACAGAATTCAATCCAGTAAGGATGCTAAAAGCAAAGGTGCATACATTCCTAGAGTCCCTGCCGTTTTCTTTCTCTTTTCTCCTCTCCTTCCTTAATTTGATATTGTCCTAAGCCTTGGTTAGAATTTTACAACAGGGAGGGGATTGAGATGAGGATGCTGGGGGGTGAGGGATGCCGGGGCATTTGGCAAATTGAAAGGGAAGTAGGAGTTGGCATATAGAAAATCCCTCTGCATTACAAGGGAATCCACAATGTGGACTATATGCATCCTACACAAAATATATTCAAAAGCTTATAGAGCACAGAGACCTGAGTTTACCAGAACAACATCTAGAGCTATATTCCGCACGTCCAAAGCTCTATGTGTCCATGCTATTTTTTACTTGAAGTTGACTGCTACTCATTTCCTTTTTTTCAACCTAATGGTCAATTGCTTTTATTCTGCGTTTACTACCCCTTCTCTGGGGTTTCAGGGAGCACCTGGAGGCTTGAAAGTTAATCTCAAGACTCATCTGAATGTTATTATATTACTTTGATCTTTGCATGGTTTACTTTGTTTCCTTTCTGGGTACTAACAGTAATGCTTTCAGCTGGGATGGGAAAGATCGGAACCAACAGTTTTATTGGTGTCTAAAGCCTATGCTGTGTCATTCACACTGAAGGCAAGCTTTATACCCAAAAAAGACCAAAAAAAAAAGTGACCAAGTGTATAAACTGAACAAATAGATAAACAGGCTACTAGATTCGTTGGGGAGAAACGAATATCTGGAGTTTTTATTGCATAATGTCGATCAAGCAACTTCTGTATGTGCTCATGCATCGTTGCATCTGTCCCAATGCCTGCCTAGAAAAGTAAAAGAATAAACACATCATCAAAATTCTATAGGCATGTTAAACTCTATATGACAGAAACTCAAGGATAAAACAAAGGACTCTGAGTATCCAATAAATCTAAATACACAGAGCCCATACCTTGTCCATACAGGTCAATAGATCTGCCTCACTTAAAAGAGGTGGTGGCCTAGTAACACCAGAATCAAGAGTCAATGTTGTCGGCATGAACTGCATTACATACAGACCAATTTAGAAAAAAGTCATTCATCCATTACATTTTTCCAAAATCAGTACTAACAGCAAACTGAAAATAAAGCATAAAGAATGAAATTGCATCTAACTTTTTTTTTCAGTATTACTTGCAAGTTTAGCCAAGATGTAAAACTACTGAATCAAACAGCCAACGTCTCAAACTTGGAAAATTAAACTTTCTCCTATACTATGGTTCATACTTTCTTTTCTTAATATCATGATATGATACTAGATTTCATCACATCAAAATTAACAATGATGGCATGAGTGAAAATTCCCTGTTCTTGGAAGATGGCACTCATAGGGGCAGAATTGATGTTTAACCCTCAATATTTCTTAGCCTTACATATTTTGTAGAGGAAGGAATCAGTTCTTGTTCTTTCCAATCACTTCTTTAGGCAAAAACTTTAAAATATGATTCTGGGGAGGGAGAGGGGGAGAGAGAGAGAGAGACTACATCCTTTTAAATGTATGTTAAAGTGATATATTCTAGCCCTGGCCCCATTCATCTGCAAAAGCCAGAAACATATTGAACAAATTGCAAAAGATATCCTACTCACTCAACAACCATGTAAAAAATTAATGTCAAACATTTCTACATCCTAAAAAATTAAGCAAGAAAGATCCTATAAAACTTTGGATCACTTAATACTTCAACTCCCACAATTCATATTATTAGCTATTTCTAAAGTCTTGCATTGACAAGTCCTACCTTAACTTCATGAAACAATATCAACGTTAAAGCATCCACATGCAATGGCATAAGAACTCAAGACACCAAATTTGGTCCAACAGTATACTGACAATAGTATTATATGGAACCAAAGGTGGAGTGAGAAGTAACATGCTTGTGCATGTGCCAACAAAACACCTTGAAAAGCCCCTTTTGTCCCTAGTTACTGTAATCCAAACTATCAGCATCTTTTCTGCAGTTATTGCATATTAATCAATCACAATATAATAAGTGCTCTTTCACTATTATAAAAGTTGTCACAAGGGTGGATAGCTACCAAATATAGCATAAGTAACAAATTATGAAAATAAACCTGGTTAATGCGCTGTACATGGGATGTGAACCAGATCGTTATGTAGAATGGAAACTTTATGATTGAAATGATTTCTCTTCTTCAGATACAATCAAAGCTATAAATTAGCAATCAAAAGATCAGTAGCATACCTGTTGCCCCAAAGTGTATGTAGGGATCATTGAACCACCCCATGATTCAAATGTATATACATCCAAGTAATTTTTCTGGCAAACATGAAATACATTACCACAATTAACAAAGCAAAAATATACTGACAACACATGCACAAAAAGCAGCAGCAATTTAGAATGCGTCTTTTATTTAGAATTGAATATACAAATGAATAGAAAGTGACAAATGCAAAAATATGCCAAAGAAGCTGGAGATACAAATTTTAATCAAAAGACTTGCACTTTGGTGTCATGTAGTAACAAAGAAAACATCTAGTAGGTTAATAGGGAGCTTAGAAATTTAGAGCAAATCAGTAACATAATGTGATAACCCAAGAATTGACCAATAGCATTGAATTTTGTCTCAAGTAAAAGGAATGAATTGTAGGAGTAGAGATTGGCAACTTGAAATCTGTTAAAAAGTGCTCTAGTATATTATAATATTTTTCAGGGAGGAAACCAACTATCAAAAATCCTTCAAATATCCATTATCTTCAAAAAGCTTCTCAACTTTCCTCATAAGATGAGTGCTTGGGGTAGAGACGATACAAAGCTGTGAATAGATTCAGCTTCTTATTAAATAATTATCATCGCAGAAGTACCAAATCCACTATCAAGTACGGGTTTGGATCAACTAAAAATTCAAAAGCCATACAGGATCAAAAAGGTTCACATCCTTGAATGACTTCTCAAAACTTGAAATCACTGTCCTTCACCTTACTTGTTTCTTACCTCCCAGATCCGAAAATTCAGATAAAATGCATAATATTGACTGGTAAGACAGATTTAAACCCTTTGTGTCCAAGAACACAAGAAACACTTCATGTGTCTTGACATAAAACCCCAACATACTAAGAGCGGACACCATAAACTTTTCTAGAACAGGATACTTCATCAACAAAGTAACCTTCTTTTCACCAACCACATCGGAGTTAATTTAGTCCCTTAAAACATATGATGCTCCTAGGTTTTAGCAGAGGAATCTCCAAAGGATAGAATTTTAACTCCGCAATAAAAAGAGAAGAAAAGGAGCACTGATTTCACTTTAATTACTTTATAGATAGAGGAGCATGATTTATGATTAGAGTCTTAATCACAAGAGTATTTCCCCTAGTTCTTCTCTCCAAAATATCTTCATTTCAGTGCTCAACGCTTGTCTTAATTATGAACATTAAACCCCAAATAAAAACTAGCTTGATCGGCAAAAATAGTTAATTTGACATCTCCAATTCTTGATCTTTAATTTTTCCAGCCTAGTCACAAACACAAGATTTTATGTTGAATTTTTGAGTTTGAAACTGAGGGACTTTAAAGAGAGAGCTCTTGAGCCCTTCTACAGAGACTCAGATGTGGGGTGGAATATGGGTACACATCTGGGTATTCAATTTCTCAATCTTCATATAATTTGGGAATAGGGAAACCGCCAATGAGCCAAATAAGGATACTGATGTACTCTATGCAAGACATACTTCCAAGTAGTCTACAACAGAAGTCATGTACATTTTATGGACAAGAAGTTAATGCCTGCTAATTGGCATTCAAGGAAGGAAAATCCACTCTTTTCAAGTAAATTTGGTATCTCAATAACTTTCTTGATGCATTAGGATACTATTAGTATCACAACTTCTAGATGAATGTCAAATAAGAAAGACAGATTAAAAGGTCCATTAAGAAGTGGCTATGATGCTATAAATCACCAGTTCGCAACCTAATCAGATCAGATTACAACGAGCTTTCTAATCCCAATCTCTCATGTGGTACATTTCTCCTCTCATATCAGCTGAAATTCTGAATTTTACGATCTTTGTCCACCTGACCTAAATTTGTCTTTTTTGTCATTCTCTATATTCATCTAGTCTGATTTCCTACCCATCAGTCAGAATCAAACACCATAAACAACCTAGGATCATATTTATCACTTCCATCATAAAATTTGTAGCATAGCCAAGCTTGCTAGTCATCTTGACACCCATGGCCTTCTCTGGGAGTGAAGTCAACACACCCAATGGAAATTGACCAAGTCAGGTACATATGCCAAACCCACATGTGTGTTTACAAAGGTCTGGTGGGGTAGGAGAGTCCTTGTAACATAGCTCTAGTCTTCTGTTCTCCATTGAAGCACAAATAGAAGAGCCCTTAAAATTAAATTGGCAGTTTACTGGATACTCTTCAAGCATCAAAATTTTTGACTGGTTAAACGTTTTGAAGCACATGGTTTTAAACATGCAAGGGAATGTTACAGTATCTTAGTGTGCAATTCATACAGTAATTCTGCAACATGCATTTTACTTTTTATCCATCAAAACAAGCTGAAATCGGCAAAATCCTTAAATAAATATAAGTTTGATTTGTTATTACACAAGTAAGCAAACAAGCAGCACAGATGGTTAAGCTATATAATGCCAGACGGTACAAGCACCATGCGAATGCATCAAGAAACTCACCGCATGTATCACCCTTCCGGATGAAGAGAACGTTTCACCAGCAATGTCAATTTCAACAGAAGTTTCAGCCGCTTTCGCTGGCTGAGAAACACAGGCTAGAAAATGCCGAACAACCAGTTCATACAATCTCTGTCAGAAAAGCATGTATATGAACTTAATATCCTCAAATGTGAAACAAAAATACCAGCTTATATGTTATTTATCTGCTAATTAGGAAGATTAACCGGTTAGCAGGAAGCAGTATTAATTACTAACATGGTGATCCCGACTCCATCCAGATTCACCAGGTGAAAATCTGGTAGGGTGAATGGGAGGATGGGCTTTGTCATCGTGTCTGCCACTACTAGGATTTCTCCAAAGCCCTGCTTCAGGGTTCAACAAAAGCTGAGCATATGAGCCCCATAGCGGATGCCCTTGTTGTTCAAAAACAATTGCCTGGAAATCACCAAAAAGGATTGTCAAAAGCCACTTGGATTGTAGAAGCCTTCTCAAAGTAGCAATGAAAGGTGGGGGGGGGGGGACAAAATAATGCAAGTAAAAGCAGCATTAGCATTAGTTAATCAACAAAAGCAAGATGAAACGGTATAATCTTCCAGAAAGGTTTATTCTAGCACATACCAGTGGTAGACTTGAACAATGTACAATATTTCATTTAACTTTTCAAAGTGAGGTGGTCTAACCTGCTAGCCATACCCTGACAGCTACATTATTTACATGACATGGTTTGAACTGCAGACATAAATAAACAATTACACTGCAATGCAAGCACCACAGACGGCGGAGGTTTAGAAGAAAATGTCTACTTGTAGGTTACCCACACAATTCACAAAGGTGAATTTCTCTTAAGAGTGTACTTGCTCCTCACCTGATCCACCATCTAAATGCTTAAAAATATCAGAGTTCAAATCCTTTGGTTTTCTCCCCCTACTATAAAATTCTACATTACTGACCATGCTCAGGAGCTAATTGATAAGTGATTCTCAATCAATTGCCTAGGGGTCAGATAAAAGGCATCTTTTTCAGCTGGTGAGGAAGTTTGCAATGGGTAAAGCTGGAGAATCGATGTCACATCCAGTAACCTTTTATGTTACATGGAATTCTTAAGAGAGCTGCCAATCTTTTGCATTGGGCAGTCAGTACTTTGATTCCCCCAAAGGGGTTAAGAGGAGGCAACCAGTCTTGTAAACATCATTTCCAATTTCACTTCTGCAGTTTTCTTCAGTTCTAAAATGAATATTTGCTGTGAAAAGCTAATGAAGTATGGATAGTTATTTTTTTTTTTTGGGTTCTGTATGTACACAAAACATTTCATTTATTGGTATGAACTTGAGGTTTACATACATATAACAAGTATCCAACTAAAATAACAAAATGAATCTGTAGTTAAACTACTACAAAGGAGAAAAATAACAAGTTCCAATGATCTGCCAAAATGAAGCTCAAACATATCTCAACGTAGCAATCACTAAGGGAGACAAGCTTACGAATCTTGCTTGAAGCAAAATGGAGCCTAGAGAAAATCAGTTGAACTTGATCACATACTGCTCATCTCAACTTTTAAACATCCCTGAACACCCTATGCACATTCTGATATCAAGTTTTGCATCATATCTACTGAAAATACTTTGAAGAGTCTTTGTACTTTGGACAACTATCGAGTGCCTTGACAAGAGACGTTTATTTAATACATGCAAATCAGGGAAAATCAATAGCTCTTGACATGAAGAAAATTTAAGAGCTCTATAATCCTTTGGACCAATATGCAAATAGACTGTAAAAATAGTGGATCTGAAATGAACGTGGGCCTAGGAAAAAGATGAAGAAACTTACGATGCTCCTTTTTCCAGCTATTAGTGACAAAAAGTGTGTAAGTTTATTCAACAAATGCTATCAAAAAAGTTAGCAATCTGCAATGAGAGTTTTATCATCTACACCACTGTAGTGGAAAAGAATGGTTTTAGTGCTAAAACAGGTATTATAATTCTCTAGCCAAATTCAAAATAGAGATGCACCCTAATTTCTTGTTTTCAAGCATTTGGGTAGCCTCATCCCACAAATATGGCTTTGAATGCAAATCAACACAAATATTGACCATGGGATCCTACCCACATTAACAGCTTCTCTCTTCTCTCTCTCTCTCTCTCTCTCTCTCTCTCTCTCTCTTGCAGACATCCCTGCAAGCTTGCCTTGGCTTAGAAAACACTAGACAGACCTTAGTGACTTTCATCAATCAGAACACCGATGAAAGCTCACTAGCAAAGCATATATGCTGAATCCTGCATTGAGCAGTTTTGCTTATCGATTAGGCTACACATAAAATTTAACTATGTCACATCCCAATGCTAAGCAAATTACTTTGAGTTATCGTAAAGGAACAAATACCCACTCGCAAGTCAGTCTTCTCTGAGAAGCCGTCAGTCTCAGTACGAGGATAACTGATAAATCCAGCTTGGTACAGATCTTCTGCTACCTATAAAGTCAAGAAGATTACAAATAGAAGGACACCAAAAAAAAAAAAAAGAAAAATCAGGTTATTTTACATGAAATTTACTGTTTGAAAATCGAAAAAATTTCAAAAACAATCATGGTATGGGCAAATATAAGAATGAAATGCTAAGTACTTTTGATCTATGATAGGTGGTACACCATAATTTCAAGATGCCATTATGGCATTTCGACATCAAGAAATTTCAAGTGGAAAAAAATGCGTAACCATGTTACTAAAAATGTAAAACACTTAGCCCTAAGGTCGCAAATATTACAATGGATGAGAAGGAGATAGCATCATAAAAAGCTGAAGCATGATCACACTTATAAGACCCTACAGCAGAAAGGACTTTGACATTTCCGTTTTCAAATTTCAATCTTTTGGAGATCATGGGTTGTGACAGTGTCAGTCTCGAAAAGGGACAGCTTCCACAGGATAGCATTGCATGATAAGAGGAGACTGCATAAGAAAGCAGCTCTACTATCATTTCTAGGATACATGGACACATAAAACATGAGCTAGAACTTTTAAAGAGCATCATGAAGGATGAAGAATTAAAATTGTATATCAAATATGAAATATCACCTTCATGGTATGTGCAGGACTCATGTGAAAGAAACGAGATGCGCGTTTTTCAAGCTCAAGGGTACTCAAAGGAAGAGGAGGATATTTAAGTTTTTCTTGTTCCTTGATCTCTGTGACCTGCACAGAGAGAAAGTTGGTAAATGCCAAAGCCCATAATGCATGTCTGTTTCCAAACCAGCAGTGGTCTCACACTGTTAAATAATACTCACAGTGACAGTAGGTTCTTGGATGCACATTTCATAAACTATTGCTGCACATGTATAATCAAAGAAATGTCCCCGCCTGCAAAGCCACAACTTATGAAATTTGAAAATTTCAAGCATACATCTCAACATAAAAATGTTAAATATGTAAGAAGATTTTAGAAGAGTACATCCACTTAAAGTTAGCAGTGCCTTCATCTGTGTTGTGCGTACAATTAATAGTCCAGAACTCTTCAGCCTCATGTGACTGATTTTCCCAGTAGCGCTCCACGACAAAGCCCAATGTTGGAAACTGCAGTAAAGTAATGGCACACTGTAACTAACATACTCCAAAATTCTGTTTCATATCATGGACAGTGTGATCTGCTCACATTCACCAATTTATCTTCAACTATATCTACCAGTGCATAATAAAAGCATCATCTTGCGAGTACCTGACAGGGTCCATAGCTTATAACAAGATTCCTGTCATCTGTAGCAAGATTAATCATAAATGCATCTCTTAAAAACATGGTCTGAAAGCGAGTAAAAGAGGCACCAATCCGAAGGTCTATCTCCTGCAGAAAAGTTCCAGTTTAGCTCGCCTTTATAGTATTGGAACATAAACATGTGTCCAGCAAATTGTTAAATATGAAAATCCGTGCTAATAATCAAGCCAGAGAAAAAGATATAAAGTTTACATTAAAATGCTGAGGTGAACAGAACATATGAAGGTAAAGGAACTCAAGAAAAAAGTTCAATATACTTGTAAAAGGTACATATATAAGTTGTTGACAGTAACAGCAGGAAAAAAAAAAAGAAAAGAAAAAAGGCCAGATCCTTAGTATTGAAAGGTATTAGCATGACATAAAGTTAAAGTTAAAGATCAACTAAGTTTTGAAACGATACACACTTGTCTTAGATCCACTGCATCAGCAAACAATTGATTGGGTCTGACAAGATTCTGCACTGAATTCTGAATTTCCCTGACCATCAAAAGGTTTTCAGCAAATAATCAAAACAGCCTTAAAGTCAGAAACCTGAGAAACTATTATCAGAGCAAGCAATCAGATACCTTTCAATTAATGCAGAGAAACGAGCCCTCCAGATATTAAGATTGCGATTCGCTTGTGTACAGACTTCAATCACCTCAAATGCAATATTTTCTCCTTCTCTATCACAATCAAGCCACAGGATAAGCCACTGGCACTTTCTAGCTTCTTCCTCCAGCGTCCTTCTTATATCTGATTTGTCCTACAATCATCCATGAAAGATACAACACATTTCACTATATGTACCCAGTGCATAATAATCTACATTCAAGCCCTGTTCTATCAACTAAGCTGCAGCAGATTACAAAGAAATCGGTACTAAACCATAAAGATAAAAGAAAAAAATTTATATATTATACCATAGAAATCTATCATCCATCGTGCTAAACAAACATACAAGTCATTGATTATCAACTAGACCTCAACCCAATGCTCAAAACCACGCAACTAACTATAACGTCCAACCAAAACAACACAATGTACTACACTCATCTGAATTGCTTGGAGCCTCCAAAAAAAAACGATTCAAAAGACGAAATCAAGCAAAATACTTCATCGTTGACAAAAAAAAAATAGCTAAAAAGTAGCCAACAAACTGAGCTAATGGAATACCTCAGGGACGAATTTACGAACAGAAGCATGGTAAAGATCGACGGGGTCACAAGAATGCCATCTTCTGAAGCGATCGTCGAAATCGAGCTCCATGAGATGACCTGTGACGGAGGTGAAGGACATATGGCAAGGCTGTCCATTGATGGTGTGATTGAACTCGAATATCCTATTGTATCTGGACCGTCCATCTCTTACCCTCAATCCTCCTTGCTGGTTCTTCGATAGGAATCCCGAAACTGCTTTGGCCACTGACGGTTTCTCCGCCACGTTCAGCACTCTTATTGCCCGCCCTCCGCTGCCCCCACCGCCTCCTCCGCCGCCGCCATAGGCCATTTCTGAGAGTGGTGAAGTGGAAAATTCGTCGGCGTTTTTTCCCGCCCCGCAGTTGACGTGGAGTGGCGAGGGAAAAGGGAAATTTCTAGTTTTGAATAAATCGCGGCTGTGGGGTTAATTCCCCTTGGCACCCTTCAACTATACCTAAACTCTTATTTTAGTCCCTAAGTTCTAATATGAGACATTTTAGTCCTCAAATGATACCATTTGTCTCACTTAAGAAAGATGGTTCATGAAATATGACAGATTTTATACTTAAGCGGGCATATTCTATGGAACTAAAGTGGGATAAATTTTATACTTTTGAAATTAAAGTGTGAAAAATTTTATATTTTAAGGATTAAAGTGAGATGAATTTTATATTTTACAGACTGAAGCGTAACAAATTTTATTTTTTAAGGACAAAAATGGGCTACAATTTTTAGGTTAAAAATTATAGTGTCTCATTTTGAAATTAAAGATGAAAGTGAAAATTCACGAACATTTGAAGAGTACAAAGTAGAATGGATCCTATGTTAATTTTTCTTCTACAAGTTTTTTAACAACTTAATTACAGCAATCTTAGAAAACTTTCCAAAGTTTTTTAAGTGCACACCTCAAATACCCAAACACACAAAAGAAATTGTTTTCCCTTCTTTTGTTTTCTTCCTCCCCACACCTCAGTCTATCACCACCTCCACCATTGGGCGCCACTTGCAATCACCTCTACTGGTGCAGGCAACTCTTTTTTTCTTTCTTTCTTTCTTTCTTCCCTCTCTCCCTCTCTCTTCTTCTCACTCTTTTCCTCTTTCTCACTTTCTCTCTCTTCCTCTTCTCTTTTCCCCATTCTCTTCCCCCCTCTCCCGAACTCTCCCCCTTCCCTGTTGGTCATGCGAACAGTGTTAGAGCGGTAGGAGAAGAGGGGAGGAGGAGGAGGGGGAGAGAAGAGGAGGAAGAGGGAGGGAAGGAGGAGGAGGAAAAAAAGAAAAAAAAGGTTGGAGAGGGGTTTCAACGGGAGGAGTAGGGTGGTGGCAGTGGAAAGAGGGGAGAAGGAGGGAGGAAGAAGAAAGGAAAAAGAAAAAAAAAAGGAAAAACAAAAAGAAATGGAAAAGGGAAAGAAAAATTTGTTTTCCCAGTTCTCAAATATATAAAAGTTTTTCTACATTTTCTACAACACATTACAATAAAGTTGTTGTACAACTAATAAAATGAACTACTATAATAGGAATTGAAATATTAGAGAAAGAAGTAGAGAAATGGAGAATGATTTTCTTATTATTCCAACTAATCAAAAAGTACACTCAAGAGGTGCCAAGGTACCTCTATATATAGGTATTACAAAATTAAAGATACATCAATTCTATTAAACACTCATTACTACAAAAACATGAATAGCCATATGAAACGGTTCATCCAAGATATGAATAGCTCTTATGGATTGAAACCGTCCATCCAATGTAATTCCTTTACATAATGTAGCAACGAATTATGAATTACTCCCCTTGGAATCAATGAATTATGAATTAATTCTCTGGAGAATACAAATGGACATCCACACTTTTAGTTGTTTCATAACAGTTTTGTATAAACACACAAAAAACACACCTTCCAAACAAACCCAAAGTCATGTAATGCTCAACTACCGAGCTATTTGTTATCTTATTCTCATGTCTGATTTTCTATTATTTTTCAATTTGAATTGATTGATAATGTTAGGCTTCAATTTTCAAAGTTTGTTTGCCATTTTTGGTCTAACAAATTAAACTTATGGTAATTGAAATAAAAATTAAACCCAAAATACTAGTTGCCTTTGAGAATTTGATGAACATCATTCCTTTAAAATAATTAGGACAAATAAACGTAAAAGTAATTAAGCAAGAGCTACTAATGTAGTGTAAAATGAATGGAAGTATGGGGCATGAGAGATAAGTTGCAGAGGAAAACAAAGTACGCGGATTTAAGCGTTCATAACTCCAAGATCGCAAATGCACGTGAATCTGATTGAAGTGAGCAACTTGCTTTTGGCAAGGTAGCCGCTAGAATGGATTTTAATTTCCACTTTGATAGGGTGACAAGTTTTCGAAAAATATCGAATTACCAACCGAACTTGAAATCAATTTCAAAATTTTTTTTGGGTTAAAAAGGATAATTTCATTTCAATATCTGAACTGATAGCAGGTAAGTAAATTAAAACATAATACAGATATTTAGATCTGAAAATCAACTTCTACAAGACCCAAAAAGCAATAAACTTGATCATAATATTGAAACTTCGAGAAACTCCAAGAGTACTTTCCATCAGATAAATATTACTAGAACCAATACATCTGTGTCCATGTCTTCCAATAGTCAGATGTAATAAAAATTGCTCAAGCCCAAACAAAAAAATTAGATCAAATACATTGGAAATAGGTAATTCGAATTTCCATTGGTAATTTTAGTTTTCTAAAATACAAAGGTTTGAATTAGGATCAAATATAGTATTCATATTTCTTAATTTGAACTTATTGATCGACGATTTCCTACAAGCGCATAGGGTCGATTGTAGTAATAATTTACTTGGAGCATTCCAGGGTCGAACCCACATGGATGAGTTAATTTTCTTTTTTAGTTATTCTAAAATAACAAAGTTTAAATTCAAGGAGTGGTTTTTTCTAACTAAACAATAAATGAATAATCAATTTAAATAGAGTAGTGGTGAGAAAACAATAGACGTGAGCCTAAGGTTTCACGTTTTAATCTAGAATTTGAATTAATTATTCAGTTAATTTCTAAAATAAACCATGAACACATCACACAATTGTATTTTAGATTATCTCTCGATACATCTAAAGTATGCCTAATTAAATCCTACGTCTCTCTTGAGATCGCAAGTATTCAATTAATCAAAAACCTTAGTGATATAAGCATGTGATACAAATCCTAACATACTCTCGTGATTATGCTAAGTATGTTTATCTATATAGTGCACAGCTGTATCTCCTTTCTCAATTCAATACAAACTCTAAGAGCATGTCTATGATGGCCAAGCATAAACACCTAATTAAAATCAAGATAGACAAATCATAGCAAAAAAGCAAGAAATTAAACTAGAAAAATTAATCAAATTCCTTTATAAAAACCCTAACCCTAGAAACAATTTAGTTCATCATGATTTGGAAATTAAAATCGTGAATTCAAAGAGTTGCTACAAAAATAAGAAAAAGAGTAAGAAAACTTCACAGTTACTTGCTTCAATCTTCTCCTTGCGCGCTCCTTTATTCGCTCCATTTGATCTTGATCTCTCAAGAATGAACAATGGAAAGATGTTAAAACTAACCTGGACTAATGTTTTCCACCCCTAAAAACGTCCTAGATAGCCTCTAATTATAGTTTCTCAAGTAGTTTCCAAAACGGGGTAGGATTGGGCTTATTGGAGCTAAAAAACGACAATTTCATGCATTTTCTAGATGAACACCAGTGCAAACTCTGGCTTCAATGTTCCATTGGGTGACTTGACCTGAAAAACTCTGTCGTGAACATTGGCGCAAGTTACTGAAGATCCACGGACGGATTAATTTGGATCCATGAGCAGATCCACTTTAATGCCAAAAATCTCCATTAAAGAGGCTGAATCAGCTCTTGCTCAACATAAAAGTTGTAGCTTTTTGAATAAGCTTTCCAACGCCTCAAGAATTATGTCATTTGGAGGTCTGGATACTGAGATATGCCTAAAATACTGAAACATGTTCGTAAGAGCATTGCAGTGTAACTATACTTCAGTAATTTGAACTTTTGACTATGAAAACGTGAGAACCAAACTTTGATTTCTTATAACTTTGAATTAAGAATCATCTCAATCCGATTTGTGTAGCTCAAGTTACTGCCAAAATACTGAAACTTGTCAATCCTATGAAACCTCTTTCTCTTCATGCTTTGTTCTTCCATTGCATCTTTGCGCCCCGTTTTTTGTTCATTTTCTCTCCAGTTAAGCTTTTGACTTATTAGAACAATATAAGAGCAAAATCAAGTAGTTTCTATTCAAAATAAAATTCAACTAATATAGTTAACTAGCAACTTATACATATAAATCAAACTCCTCCACACTTAATTCGTGCTTGTACTCAAGCACAAGAACAAACCTATTAACTACAATCAATTACTATATTCAAGACTATTATTATTAAAGCAACCATTCTAAACAAGCGTCGAATATCAATAGTGAAAACCAAAGGGGCGCTTCTTCGATTAGCTTTTAATGCCATAAACCCTTTCAACTCTACCTAACTAAATTAGGAATATAAACTATTTAACAAGCATTTCCTTACAAATGGTCCAACTATTAATCCAAATCTCAAACATATAACCACATGGATCCACAGGTTATTATTATAATATTTTCCTTCCTTTTTTTTCTTTTCTTTATTTTTTTCTTTTTTTTTCAGATTTCCCCCACACTTCAACCTTTTCACATTTTAACGAGGAGAATACACTTAATTCTTAGCCGTTTAAGCCTTTTGAACAAACTCCAACATCTCCCAAATGAAAGAGCCTGGTTACTCAACTTTCACTGCTAAAGGATCACACACTCATAGCTATAGTCATTTTTTGATACGAAAGTCAACACTTTTAGGTGAAGACCTTCGGTTACTAGGTAATGACAACCAGCGAAGTATAGTTCAAATTAATAAAATAAGAATATGAGCACAAATAAAAACACAAAACCTTGCTTCATATCCCAATAATATGGAGAATTAAGATTAATAATTAGGCCAAATTCACAAGAAAAATGCTAGAAAAATATTTACAAAGTCTAGAAAAATTAGTCAAAAATTAAAAAAGTCTCAAAATACCAAATATTCATCAAAGAAGCACTCTTTTTTTTTTTTTTGGTTGCCTGCCACGGTATCCAGGGCTTTGCCCTGACTAATCCGTTGGTCGACTCGGGTCGCACACCTGACTGTGGTGGGTGAGTCTCCCAACAACGGTAGCTGCATACGCCAGGTTTCGAACCCGAGATCTGCTTAAGCGGAACCAAGCTG